ACTGATAAGGTTTCCTTGTTTAAGGAGAAATAATTAATGGTCATAATAGTAGATTTATTTATTTAAATTTATTATGCCAATTATTTATTTATTTATTTATGCATGTTAATAAATTATTGCTTTTGCATGGAATTAATTTAGAATTGCATGAATAATTATGTATGTTAGTTAATTATTACTTTTGTATGAGATTAATTTAGAATTGCATGAATTATTATGCATGTTAATTAATTATTACTTTTGCAGGGATTAATCTAGAATGCATAAATATTTAAAAATCCTCATCTAAATAATACTAAGTTTGAGAAAGGATTTTAAATTAAAGTTAATTTCAAAATTCCTAAAGCCTCCATTTCTAATTTGTTGGTAAATCAATTAATTGAAGTAGGGGCTCCTCTCGGGTGACATCACTAAAATTAATTGTAGGAAATTACTAGGACGAATTTCTAATTAGACGATTATAGGAAGTCTTATGAGAGCGTACGGGCCTCCCTTTGGGGGACGTATAATCAAGAAACGGGATTCACTTAGAATGCAATTTAATTTATTAACCCCCTTCGGGGTCCCTGAATTTTATTGCATGGCCAAACGGAGATCGACTATTTATTTCATTCGTCATAAATTTGGTTTTAACTTATAAAAAATAATGGGTGCTTGAAAAACTCTTCTCTGGTGAATGATGAGTATGTAGGTTACCCTCGTATCATGCATTAATCACGGTGTTTTGAGATGTTGGTGAATTTAAGTTAATATTGTTTTGAGGATATCAATGTTAACAGTTAAATTCAACATGTTTAATCTGTAAAATTATTTTCATGATTCACAGGCTTTATTCATCATGTCGTTCAATCCGTTATCTGTCATTTTAAAAGAAAATCAGCTTACTGGTCCTAATTACATTGATTGGAAAAGGAATTAGATATAGTGTTGACTGCTGAGGTGCCCGGCGGAGCCCGCGGTCGATGCTCTAGATCAGGAGAAAAAATAGTATGCTCGGTGGAAGAAGGCTGATGAGATGACAAAGTGTTACATTCTGTCATCCATGTCGAATGTTCTTCAACATCAGCATCAACCAATGACCACTATAATAGATATACTTCTCAATCTCAGGAATCTGTTCGGACATCAGTCTAGGGCTGCTTGGCAGGAAGCCTTAAGTGATCTGATGAACACGCGCATGTCCGAGGGCACACCCGTGAGGGAGCATGCCCTAAGGTTTATGGCACAGCTCAATGAGCTTGAGGTTATGGTAGGATTTATTGATGGGGAAATCCAAGTTGATATTACGCTCCAGTCTCTACCGAAGAGCTTTGATCAGTTCCAGTTGAACTACAACATGCACAAGATGCATATGGCTCTTCCAGAACTGTTGGCTGAGCTTCGATCAGCAAAAACCTTGTGCACTCAGAACCGTCAGGTGCTAGTCACCGAGCAGGCTAGACCTTCCAGGCCTCACAAGGGCAGGAAGAGAAAGAAGTCTGCAGGAAAGGCGAAGGCACATGATGCTCCGGTTGCTCCGCAACCGGCCCCTCAGGCTGTGGAAAAGAAACCGAAAGGAAGATCCCACAAGTGCAACAAGTCAGGATATTGAAAGATAGACTGCCCTCTCTTCAAGAAAGGTAACTCTCTTATTAATGTCGTAAAAACATGTTTAGCATTTATATCTACCAGAACCTGGTGTGTAGATACTGGAGCCACTGATCATGTCTGCAATACATTGCAGGGGTTCCAGAAAATCAGACGACTTAAGGAGGGAAAAATCACCGTCTACATGGGCAATGCTACGAAAGTGGCGGCTGTTGCAGTGGGATACACTACTTTATCTTTTGATAGTCGTATACTGGTTTTGAGATATTGCCTTTACGTTCCAAGTTTTAGAAAGAACCTTGTTTCAGTTTCTAAACTTATTTTGAATAGTTTTTCATTTACGTTTGATGACTTGGTTATTATTCGTTGTGCAAATCGTTTGATTTGTTCTGGTTCATTAGTTGGCAATTTGTATGTTCTTAAACCAAACTATCTCACACTGCAACAAACTGAATTGAATAATGTCATGACTAAATCTAATGAGAGGAAGAAGTCTTCGTAGATGAATCAAGCATATCTTTGGCACCTTAGACTTGGGCATATCAACCTTAGGAGGATTCAAAAGTTAGTGACTAGCGGACATCTTGGACCACTAGAAGATCACTATCTAACTTGCGAATCGTTTCTAGAAGGTAAGATTGCCAAGAGGCCATTTTCGGCAAAAGGGTATAGGAGCCAAGAAGTGTTAGGATTGATTCATTCTGATTTGTGTGGTCCTATGTTGATCCAGGCTATAGTTGGTTACAAGTACTTTGTATCATTCATTGATGATTACTCGGGATTTGGGTACATTTACCTGTTGCACCGTAAGTCCGATTGCTTTGAGAAATTCAAGGAGTATCAGACAGTTGTGGAGAAGCTTCATGGTAAAAGTATCAAGTCACTACGATCTGATCGAGGTGGCGAATACCTCTTTGGACACTTCAGAACATACTTATTAGAAGCTGGGATTGAATCCCGACACGCCCTAGCAGAACGGTATGGCGTTGCAGAACGGGGTTGCAGAGCGAAGAAATTAGACTTTTATGGAGATGGTTAGGTCGATGATGAGTTATTCAAGGTTACCAGATTCGTTGTGGGGTATGGCGTTGGAAACAGTATCGTACATTCTGAACATGGTTCCATCAGAGTCAGTTGAGACTACTTCTTACGATATGTGGAAAGGGCGCAAGCCCAGTTTCTCACAGTTTCGAGTATGGGGTAGCCCTGCACATGTGTTACTGCAGGAACCTGGCAAGTTGGAGAAACGTTCGGAAGCACGAGTTTTCGTTGGCTATCCAAGGGAACGAAATGTGGATTATTGAGGATCAGAAGGTGATCGTTAGTACGAACGCTAGATTCTTGGAAGAAGACTATATTATGAATCACAAGCCCACGAGTAGACTTGTCTTAGAGGAGTTAAGAAGTGAAGTCAATAGTTCTCCACTGTGTGCGCAAGTAGATACATCACATAATACTGTAACACGACACACTGAGAGTATACCAGTGCAGACAGTACCACGTCATAGTGGGAGGGTTTCTATGCAACCCGACCGATGGATAGATCTTGGAGAGTTATCGGACTCAATTCCTAGAGACTTAGAATCGGACCAAGGACCTACAACGAGGCACTCCAAGATAAAGATGCAGATTCATGGAATGTTGCAATGAAAGCTGAAATGGGGTCAATGGACTCCAATCAAGTCTGGGATCTTGTAGAAACACCCGATGGTGTACGACCCACTGGATGCAAGTGGGTCTATAAAAGAAAGAGAGGATCGGATGGGAAGGTGAAAACCTTCAAAGCTTGGCTTGTTGCAAAAGGTTATACCCAGAAATAGAATATTGATTATGATGAGACCTTTTCCCCAATAGTTATGCCTAAGTCCATTCGGATTCGTTTGGCCGTAGCCGCTCATATGGATTATGAGATCTGACAGATGGATGTCAAGACGGCTAACGGGAACCTTTAAGAGGACATCTATATGCAACAACCGGAGGTATTCATTGCTAAGGGATATGAGCATCTAGTGTGTAAGCGTAATCGGTCTATTTATGGACTGAAGCAAGCTTCGAAATCTTAGAATATCCGGTTCGATGAGGTGATCCAGTCGTACGGTTCCAATTGATACAAGAGCTAATTAAGTGAAAACTTTAGGTATTAGAAGCGAAAATAAAATAAGTATGGGCACCATATAAGAGTTTATCCCGTTAGTTATTATTTATTAAGTAAGGATAATTTAATAGTTTAATTAATAAAATTTTATTTAACAACTATTTAATGAAGTAAAAAGACACGTGTCATAGTTTCAATTGGTGCATATTGTCAGGTATGTACAAGCCCAACTTTATAAACTTATTAACTAAGATCTATGTTCACATGTAATTACGACTGCACTAAAAGTCAAGCAAGGCGGAACCAAAACACCCAGATTTTTGTCTAGTAGACCCTTTTAGGCGTTCAGACAATTAGGCAATGCTTAGGCGGACTAGGGGATGACGCTTAGACGGTTACGTAGCCTGTTATTTAAAGCACGCCTAGGCACAAGCTGATCTACATAGGGGCCCATAGGGGCACGGGCCCCTGTAGAATATTTGAGTAATATGGTATATATATGTTATATGTATTATTATTTTGACATAAAAAATACATGTCATCAATTATTATGCAAAATTATTTTAATATAAGAAAAATAAAAGAGAAATGTTTAGAACCTTCAATAGTATGTTATTTTTTAAGTTGTGTAATTTATGCTTATACTATACTCAATTTCTTGTTTATTTCATTTTCCCTCCCAAAATACATAAATATTATACATAAATGTATATACTATATAGTAATTGGATCAAATGTATTCTTATTCTTAAAATAAGAATGTGAGACTCAAATCAAGTTATTAAATATGGAACAAAGTGTTTGGTCAATATTTAATCATTTTTTTTTAATAGTTGACTATTGATATTGATTTGACCATTGATATCCGGTGTTGACAGTTGACGGTAATTTTGTGCCCCTGTTGTCGTTAAGGTCTGCGTCCGCTCTGCGCCTAGGTGCCAATATAATTTTATTTTATATTTTATGAGTCGCCTATGTCGGTACAAATCTCGACGGAATGATTCCGTAACGAGATTGTAGTATTTTTCTATATTTTATATTTTACGACTCAATTATGCCGGACAAATTCCACCTTAATTGTGCGCACATACCTACCGAATTGTTTCCACATACCTCACTATCCCTAAAATAAAACTTGATAATAAGATAATATTACTTTACGGTAAAAAAATTCACCACCTGCTTCCTGTTTTTCCCATCATAATGCAGAACAGGTGAACCTCAATAAACCAACAAAACTAGTTATAAATAATACTAGTCAAGTCATTTCCCGTTGTCCGTCTCTATTGACTTACTCTGCCACTCCTCACAATTATCAATGGCCTCTCCAATTTTGAATTCACTCCTAATACTCTCCTATCTTTTCCTAATCTCCACACCAAATTATGCCCTCAACCCTTTATCATCATCTTCATCTCCAAATTCCACACGGCCCTCTTCATACAGTCGAACCCAACTCTCCTCCCTAAAATCACTCTGCAAAACCACGCCAAATCCCGACCATTGCCTGGACGCCGCCAAGCTCTCCGTCTCTCTCAACCTCCCCACCAACCTTATCTCCTTCCTCATCCATACCCTCCAAACCGCACTCTCCCAGGGTCGCAAGCTCTCCACCCTCCTCTCCGCCGCTGCCGCCGACGGCGGCCGCGGCCTCATCGAGAAACAGAGGGGCACCGTCCAGGACTGCACGCAACTGCACCAAATCACACAATCCGCACTGCAGACATCCATCTCCCGCATCACCTCCGGCGGGAAAAAGATCGACGACGCCCGGACCTTCCTCAGCGCCGCCCTCACCAACAGGGCCACCTGCCTCGAGGGCCTCGCCTCCGCCACCGGGCCCCTGAAGCCGCAGCTCCTCGCCGCCCTCGACGCCACCTACGCCCATGTCGGGAACTCGCTCTCGATGCTAGGCCGGCGGGGGCGGGCGGCGCCGCCGGGGCGGCGGCGGCTGCTGGGGTACCCGCGGTGGCTATCGGGGGAGGCGCGGCGGGCGCTGCAAAGTTCCGGCGGGGAGTATGACCCGAGCGAGGTGCTGACGGTGGCGGCGGACGGGAGTGGGAACTTCACGACGGTGGCGGCGGCGGTCGATTTTGCCCCCAATAACAGCGCGGAGAGGGTGTTTATATACGTGAGGGAAGGGGTTTATGAGGAGAATGTGGAGATTCCGAGCTGGAAACCTAACATTGTGCTGCTCGGAGACGGCAGTGACGTCACTGTTATCACCGGGAACAGGAGCGCCGCAGGCGGCTGGACCACTTTCAGATCTGCTACTGTTGGTAAATCTTAAATTTACTCTAATTTTATTTTTATCTATATCTCCTTATATACTAGTAAAATATGGTTTTTTATTTTTTAACGGATTAATCTATATATATATATATATAATTACTAGCAAATAATTTAATAAAATTATTTTCGTTTCCCATCTTTTTCCGTTACAATTATATGTTTTTATTATTATCACTATCATTATTATTATTTTGACATTAATCCATCTTATACAATTAACACTAAAATATTTCCTTTCTTTTTTTTTAAGTTAATTAAGATATAAATTATTATATTATATGTTAATTAAGTAATAATTGTATTTTTTGCTCTATCATATAATATTTATTGTAAAAATTAACTAATAATATTTACAATAAATGATCTCTGAAGTTACGTAAACCATAGTTTTTAAACCTGGCCCAGGAATCGACCCGTGCAGGTCTCCGGGTCACCGGGTCACCGGTTCAACCGCCGGGTCACCGGGTCAATTGCTGAGCCGGATAATTAATTTTAAATTTTTATAAATTATATATAGAGTATTTTGTCTTATAAATATACATAAAAATAATAAAATTAAATATTTTGTATATAAAATTTGCACATTAAAGTGCTAATAATATGTATTTCATAATAAATATTTACCATATAAATATATATAAATAGTTTTATTTTTTAAAAACAAAAAATATATTAAAAAATAAAAAAATAATAAAAAAAATATATAGGACCGGGTCAACCGGGTCAATGCCGGGTTGACCGGATTTTGACGGGTTTGACCGGGTCCGTTGTTTCCCGGTCCGAATAGCCCACCCGGACCGGTTCCAACTCCGGGTCGGCCGGGTCCCGGGACGACTCGCCGGGCCGGTCCGGGTTGAAAAACACTGACGTAAACATAAAAAATGATATTGTAAAACTTTTAGATCAATATATTTATTCTAAAACCAACATGGTAAGTTTTCAGCTATAAAAGAATTACATTATTTCATATCTCAATATTACAAAAAGTACATTATTTGATACATTTTATGCAATTAATAAAAAAACTCATACGTAATTAAATAGTTATAGTACTTTATTTACAACTGTGCAAATGCACAAGATGGAATGCTAGTTTTGTAGTAAGGAAAAAAATTAGTTTATTAACCAATCAATAATGGAGTGAGATTAAAAGAATAATAAAATGAGTTATTATTGTAAATTTAATATACCATGATGATGAGTAATATATAGAGATTAGGATAGCATATGAGATAATTTTTTTTATCCATATGCTTTAAAATTATTTTCGCACATTTGTTATTATGGTTGTTGATTGTTTGCTGATTTTTGATTTTAGCAATATTACTGTAATTTTGTAAATAAAATTATATTTCATATCATTTTTTTCTAACTATATGTG